TGATGTGTGATTCTGGGGACAGAATCATCCTAAGGGGGAGAGAATTGTAATGCTCGCGTTTCCAGGCTAGGTATTATCATTGATGTAATAGTCTAGGTTAACACTTGTAACTCTTTTTGAAGTATTAATGATGAAATATTTAAGTACTATGTGAATTATGTGAATTATGTGATTATTTTCTTAATTATTATAATTTAATGAATTTAGAATAAAATAAGCGTCAAAATTAAAGTATGAGATAAGCCCGATATCTTTGCATAAAGATGTAGTGGTCGAAACAAGGATTTCGAAGATATAAAGAATGCCAAAATCCGAGTTATAACGAAGAAGTTATGACCTGTCGAAGTTTCGCGACATAACCGACAACACTAAATGATGTAAAAAGTGAAATTTACGCTAGAGAAATATTTAGTCATAGTGATCTAAACGAAAGCTGTAGAGTTCGTTAAACCGAGAGTGTGCATAAAAAGAACACCAAAATCTGACTTCGTATGAGGAAGTTATGATTTTTCGAAGTTTCGACTTAGCAGTATGTAGCCCGAATACTCGATTTGAGATTGAGCGGTTTTTAGCCGAAACAATCTAAATGAGAATCGAAGGTCTCGTTAATAGTAGTAAAACGATAAAAAGATAGCCAAAAACGGACGTCGGATGAAGAAGTTATGAATTTATAACGGAGTTTTCCTGTCCCGGTCCACTAAAAATAAATAATAAAAATAAATTCAAAATTAGCCGACGGAGTCTAAACGAAAGTTGTAGATCGTACTCTCACCTACGCGTGGATATAAAGAACGTCTAAAACGGAGTTCGTATGAGGAAGATACGGCTTTTTGAAGTTTATTAAATATTTTCGATATTTAATTTAAATATATATTAACCGATATTATCCATGGGGGGAGTTAGCGACCCTATCGTCATTACGCCCAGCGTAATCTCATGTTACGCCCAGCGTAATTCGAACTTCCAACGCCTATAAAAGGGTGTCGAGGGCAACCGACTTCTTTGCTCATTTCTTCCCTTTTTCTCGCGTTTTTGCATCGTTTTTCGTGCAAGAATTACCCCGAAGCCCCGGTATCATTCCCGAGCCCCGAAGCAAGTCCCGAAGCCCCGAAGATCCCGAGAAGTTCAATTCCCGAGCCGAAGCTCTACCCGCGAGGAGTCCAGTTTTTGTGAAGATCTTCCAGATCTACCGAAGAATACAACTTCTACAAGCCGTAGTGCTGTCCGATCATCTTCTGATCAAGTGAGTGTGTGGTTACTTTCTTCTAACGCATAATTATGAAGTATTTTATACGAAATATGTGTTATGTGTATATTTTGTTGTTATATGTGTGAATGTATATTCACATTCTTCCATCTCATAGATACGATTTATTCTTTATGAAATACGTGTTATGTGTATGTGTCTCATCTGTTGTTTTGGAATATCTATTGAATGAGATTGCTATACAGGTTTTAAACTATTTATAAAAATATATATTTTTATCTACTAATATGTCGGGTAGAACATGGGTAGATAGTTTACGTGTGATAAACAGATGAGAGGCCTCGATATTGTTTTTGATTCAGTCATCTAGCGGAGTTTAGATGACGACCGTAGACTTTTCTAGACAGTCCTGTGGAATGCTAGCAGGTTCGCCACCTGTAGGTGTTAATGAACTTGGGTGTTCATTCGATGTACTCCATCCCCCTCATGGTTGCCTTATTTGACATATATTGTCGGGAAACCCCCGAATGCATGTGTTGTCACCCCAATGAAATATTCTAAGACTAGATTCGTTGTGTTAGTTGTTTTAGGGACGTAAAGTGAGAATAACGGGAATGGGTAATTGGGTTATTGTTGATTGGTGGAATTAAATATAATTATTTATTGTGGGTTGAAAATCCTATATGCTCACCAGGATCCCAAGCCTAACCCACTCAGTTTGATTTGTATTACAGGAAGTGGCGCAAGGGCATAAGATGGATGAATCATCAAGTTGTTTTGTTTACAAGTCTGTATATGTATATATTTGTTGAATGACTTGTAATGTTATCGTTTATGCTTTATGGTTTGTATCGGAACATGACATCCCGAGTTTTGATTATATAATGAAAATACATTTCTTTTTATGAAATGCTTTGGTAAATATTATTTTATCACGTTTTGTTTTTGGGAACAAATTCCGCAACTCTTTCAAATCAAAAGGATTTACTCTGAAATTATTTTAAAAGCATAAATGAAAATCGGTCTTTTCTGGCCGATATTTTGGAGGTGTCACAACAAATACTTCTTATATATCCAGCACCTCCACATGCTCTTCCATTATCAAAAAACTGAAGAGTTTTAAGATTTTCATTCGATGGATTTTAATGGTGAAAACTGGGTTTTCAATGATTCATCAAAGTATATACTTCCAGAAGAGATGTATGGTATGATTCTCTTTATATAATATCATATTTATGTTTATCTAATTTTTATTTTTATTCAATCAAGAACTAAAAACAAATATTACTTCTCAATGAAAATCTATCATGGAGGACATTTTTTCAACAATCCAAAAAGATCTTACGAAGGAGGTATTATTGACTATGTTGATTTTATCAACATACATAATTTCTCTATTCAGATTTTCTAGAAATTGATCTCCTCTTTAGTCTACGAATTCCACAACACATTCTGCTACTCGTTGGTTAACTATCCTCCTTTAGATTATGGGTTAAACAAACTTCAATATGTTCTTGATATTTCCGATTTTGTGGAAAAGGTGAAAAATGATGGATTGTTTTGTGTTCAAGAAATTTATATTTAAGATTTTGTTAAAACTGTTTTGATCTACTTCCCAAATACTTTGAACATTGCAACCAACAGTTATTTGTGTACTCTTCTGTACAAGTTGGTTGTTTCAAATCCAAATATGAATGTATGGGAAGCTAGAACCAACATGTTTGACAACTTCAAGATATGTGTCGATGTGTTCAAACTTCATGAAGCTTTAGAGTACACAAAGCACCAAGTGAAGCTTCTCAAGAACTAGAAGGAAACAAGAAAGTCGATGAAGCAAACAGGGGAAAATGTGGCTTTTGGGTTTTTGAACCTAGATTGTAGTTGTATGCAGAAAATTGATGTGTTATGATTTTAGAATGGAAGAACTTTTTGTAATTTGATTATGTTTGCTACTTTGTCATATGTTTATTCAATATATCTTTTGAGAAAATTAAGTATTAGTTTATTTATATATTAAGTGTATGAATAATCGAAAATTAACCAAATGTAATGCACCTTTTTAATAAAGAATGAAAACAATACACTTGCAATAGGGTCAAAATGGACAAAATTCACCTTTATGTCAAAATGGACAAAATTGACTTTTATGCAAAATAGATAATGTACTTTTGAACAAGGAAAAAAACATCAACCTTGATTAATATATTAAGTGTTTGATTACTTGTATTTTAACCAAGAATAATACACCATTTAACTTGGTGGAATAAAATTTAAATGAAAACAATTTATATGCATCAGGGTCAAAATGGAACAAATTGCCTTTATTTTTTTGTTGATTCATTTTACATAACCTAAAGGGCAATTTGTTACATTTTTTCACATAAATGATTTTATTTACCATTGTTTCTAATATCAAGTGAAATGCACTTGATATTAGAAATTGACGTTAATGTGAATATGTAGAATAGACAACGAACTTTTAAACGAGGAAGAAATCAACAATATTGATTGATATATTAATTGTTTGATTAATTGTATTTTAACAATGGGTAATACACCATTTCAATCGTTGGAATAAGTTGTGAATGAAAACAATTTAAATGCATCAAAGCCAAATTGGATCAAAAAGTCCTTCATGTTAAAATGGACCACATTGTCCTTTATGTCAAATTGCAAAAAAGGAGTTATTATCCAAATTGCTCTTTCTATCAACATCTAACAAAAAAAATAGAATAAAATAAAATTTTGAAAAAGGGCAGAACAATACTTTACTCAATTGCAATAAATTTAATAGATTACATGAAAAATATTACAAATTCGTCATTTTGAACCTGCATCATACTATACAAATTAGTTTTTTTCACCCAAAATTTTATAATAACAAGTGTAATGCACCTTTTTTGTAAGTAATGAAAACAATTCATCAGCATCAGTTTAAAAAAAAAAAAATGTTCATATAATCAAAATTGAACAGAGAACCTTCATTTATTACATAGGAGGCATAATCTTTTCAAACTATCAAAACTTTTATTACAATAAAAACAAATGAATCATAAACATTTTAAAAAATATTAATCATTTATGATAAGGACAATTCTTTTGATCATGAAAACCATAACTTTTGCAAAACTTACATAACCTCTTTTCCTTTGAATTCCCACAACTAAAACCTTTTCCATAGGGACAATTCCTTGAATCATGATAAGATAATGTGGAACAAATCTTACAAATCCTTTTTGTTTTCTTGTTCATATTATCTTCATATAAACTTTCCATTATTATTTGATATAATATTAGTACATTTTTTGCTTAATATATATAATAATTCAGATCTGATTTTTTTGATGACTTTTCAATTTAACAACTAAAACCATATATTCATATAGTTTCCTAGTGATTTTTTCTATTTATTTATAAATATATACTATATTTTTGGAGTTGATCAAAGAACAATTCATGAATTAGAATCATCTCATTATATATATATATATATATATATATATATATATATATATATATATATATATATATATACACACATAAAATTTATAAAATAATAATCATATTAATTAGAACCAAACAATTACAAAGCAAAATGTAATCCATCCACAAATAACAAAAACAAAAAAAAAAAAAAAAAAAAAAAAAAAAAAAAAAAAACTTCAATAATTAAAACATAGACTTCTATTCATGTGTTACATTTGATGACTAAAACAACTTACAAATTTAAAGGAAAACTAATTAAACATAAACAACAAAACATTTCAATACTCTTTGAAAACATAATACTCTTTCATGGACCAAAAGTTGCTAGACGAGATCCTATTTTAACTATACCATCTAGATATAATTTACGCCTATCATCATGAGACATCCTTTGATATTGACCAATTAGATTTTCAACTTCAGGCTTCATTATGTTCACCTCACTCAACAAAATTTTCAAACAATACCTCCTCCGCAGCTTCCTAGTTTGATGTAATTGATTAGCACCTTCCTTTTTAAATCCACATTCCCATTGTGCTAATGGGCCCCCTTTATAAGTTTCCATGTGCCTCATAAAAAATATGTCACAATCATTCGAATTACCCCTTGTTTTCCATGTCATGTACTGATCAAAAAATCAATTTCATATTGAACCGAAAACGCCATATTATGATTAATTTCAAGAAGATACCTCCCAAACATATACTTCTGCAACAATAAAAAAATAATATCAGAAATAAAATATTACTAAGATTATATCAAAGTCAAAAAAACATACCAAATTATAAATAAGATGTGGATATGCTTCATCACAACTACTATACAACAAGTTGTCCAAAATCACAACATTGCGATTCTTAAAATCTTAAACAAACACAAAATAGTGATTGTTTGAACATGCAGGAAAAAACACCTATAGATAAAAAAAACTAATTTCATTAAGATAATTAAAACTTTTATATAAAATAATTAAAACCTTACCATATCAAATCCTTTTAAACATCTCCTATCTTCCGATACACCCAAACACTGAAGGACATTCTCTTTGAAATTTTTATACTCTTCTTCACTTTTAGTTCCTTTGACGTGCATATATCCAGGATTCTACTTATACAAAAAAAATTATCAAATCCATATTGAAACAGATAATAAAATTTAAAAAAAAAAATAGTTAAAATTTACCAAAATACATGTCTTGAAGAAGAAACATGACGGAGTATCTTTATTTCTAGCTCTCTCATCATAGTTTAGAACATCAACAAAACAATCAATTGTTCCATACAATAGATGTTCATGCGGTATGACATTCTCCACGTTGACCATATATGCTAAGAAATAAGTTATCCCTACAAAATTAAAATGATAATATTAATATAAGTTAAACTTAAAATTACCTATATTCACAAAAAAAAACCATTACATTGGATCTTCAACTAAACTAAATACCCAGTTAGATATTATGTTCTCTTCCTTTGTCAAAGTAGTATCAATAGGAACTTCACGAATCACAAAAGGAGACCTCTTTACTGGAGGTAACATTTGATCTTTTTTTTGGCCTTGATTTAGATGGCAATTGATTTAGATCTCTTTTAATCAAAGAACTTGTAACATGCAAAATTTTACCCCTTACACTAACTAGAGAATCAAAAAACCCTTTAAATATTGATTTCTCTTGCATTTTATGACCTGAACTTAAACAAGGCTTTTTTGGAGTATATAACTCAGACTCTATTCCTAAACCAAAGGACGATATATATGATGGGTTTTAGCCATAAGAACATCCTATGTGCTCATACAAACCCTAATGCTTGGATCTAGGTTTCTCTATTGTACATGTGATTCATCCAAGACTTTAAACCCTAGATCTAGCATATGATAATCAATATTAACATAACAATGGGTTTAAGATATTATCTTGATTGTTATGTAGCAATAACAATCTCAAATCCTCCTTGTAATGACTTTAGAAAGCTTAGAATCACAAATGTCACTCCTCTAATGGTTCACAAACACCAAGAGCAAGAGGATGAAGAATGAGAAGAGAAGAGACACGCAAAAACGTGTAGAAACCCTAAGGATTCAGTTACCCACGTTTTTGGTGCCCAAGGGGTCCTTAAATAGTGAGGCTATTTGGGTTATCTAACAAGGAAACCCTAATTTGGATGCTTAGGCCCTAAGCAACCCATGGACTCCTTCCTTAAAGGCCTAGGATGATTTCTAATGGGTTTCCCCATAGAATTCGTCCATCCCTCTAATATGGAGTCCATTAGCCCAATATTCAACCATCACACAATTAACAATTCTAGTCCCTTAAGTTTAATTAATGTCTTTTAGTTACAATATTAATTCTTATTAATTCTTAACTAATATTAATTAAACAATATGATTTCTCCTTTAATATATTATTCTCATAATATATTAATAAATCATAATTAATCCTTTCTCTCCATAATTCATCCTATCAAGTTGCTTTGGTGAAGGCAACCCAAAAGGACCATGCACTATCGGGTCAAATACATACCAAAATAGTTATGGACTTAGACACTAATCCAACAGTCTCCCACTTGGATAAGTCTAATAACTATTATGCATATGACTTCAGATCTTGATCCACAATCATAGCTTTCCAAAGCCGCTGTCAACTCTGATCTTATCAGATACGCATGTCTTTTAGATAAGGGATCATATATTCCTCAATTCTAGATATCGTATAGATATAAGACATGAATTCCAATCATTCTTTCTATACTATTTCCCGATTTCCGATTTATGACGACTGACAACAGACTACAATTGATCACATCAAATTAGTCCCGGCTCGGCCAAGCGCTTAGGTGCCATCACTAAATCATCGAGGGGCCCAAAGATATCGCTTTTATCCTACTTTGGATAAAAGGAACGGATAAACTTTGACTCAATGCTCGCTTGCACTCGCTTATCGAATTACACACAAAAATAAGTTTTATGACACCAAGTTACTAGTGCGTTTACATATTATCAATGTGCAACTGATTCGCAAGATACAACTTACACATCTCAGTTTCAAGAATATAAGATGTTATCGTCTCACTAATCACTCGTGATAAAAATCCATGAAGTGATCCAAGTGAGTGTGGGTTTAATCCATGAAGTCTATATTTTGTTGTTATATGTGTGAATGTATATTCACTTTCTTTTATCTCATAGATATGATTTATTCTCTATGAAATACGTGTTATGTGTATGTGTCTCATCTGTTGTTTGGAATATGTATTGAATGAGAATGTTATACAGGTTTTAAAATATGTATAAAAATATATATTTTTATCTACTAATATGTTGGGTAGAACACGGGTAGATAGTTGTGTGATAAACAGATGAGAGGCCTCGATGTTGTTTTTGATTCAGTCATCTAGCGGAGTTTAGATGACGACCACAGACTTTTCTAGACATTCCTGTGGAACGCTAGCAGGTTCGCCACCTGTAGGTGTTAATGAACTTGGGTGTTTATTCGTTGTACTCCATCCCCCTCATGGTTGCCTTATTTGACATATATTGTTGGGAAACCCCCGAATGCATGTGTTATCAACCCGATGAAATATTCTAAGACTAGGTCCCTTGTGTTAGTTGTTTTAGGGACGTAAAGTGAGAATATCGGGAATGGGTAATTGGGTTATTGTTGGTTGATGAAAATTAATTTAATCATTTATTGTGGGTTGAAACCTTATATGCTCACCAGGCTCCCAAGCCTGACCCACTCAGTTTATTTGTATTACAGGAAGTGGCGTAAGGGCATAAGATGGATGAATCATCAAGTTGTTTTGTTTACAAGTTTGTATATGTATATATTTGTTGAATGACCATTAATGTTATCGTTTATCCTTTATCGTCTGTATCGGAACATGACATCCCGAGTTTTGATTATATAATGAAAATACATTTCATTATGAAATGCTTTGGTAAATATTATTTTATCATACTTTGTTTTTGGGAACAAATTCCGCAACTTTTTCAAATCAAAAGGATTTACTCTGAAATTATTTTAAAAGCATAAATGAAAATCGGTCTTTTCTGGTCGTGATTTTGGGGATGTCACAGGAAGCTGCAAACCTAGACCAAGAAATCAACTGGAAGAAAGTGGAAGAAACTGGAACAATAGTCGCCTTTTCGTAATTCGGTGGATTGGGGGAGATTAACCCATGTTAAACTAACCCGAAGGGCATGGCGGTTACCAAAGTTGGTGTTGGATTAAGACGCTGAAGGGGGCATAGATCGAAAGCCTGAAGGCGATCATCATATTATCCCAAAAATCTGAAACGATCGAACAAAGAAGAGGAAGGAAAGAAGAAGTAGAGAAGGACTAGAGTGGAGAAGGGGTATTCAAATAGACTGCTTCCAAATTACATATCGATTGGGATAAGCTGCAACTGATAAAACACAAGCGGTGATATACACATGTATATAGAGGAAACATCGAGAAAGAGAAGCAGTCTAGTGGTCTACTAATGAAAAAAAGAAAAAAATCTGACCAATAAAAACGTATTACTGTTCCTAAGGGAGCACAAAATTAATATATATATATAATATAACACCCAAATGAAATATTAAGGCTAGGATCCAATACAATAATTCACAATTCGGAAGAGGGATGTCGTAATCCAACTGCAAATTATTTGAATATAGGTAAATGACAATTTACAAATTCCACTATGAAAACGAAAACTTTAAATGAATTGGATTTTAAATGAAATTCCTAGACCTTTTGATATTCATTGAATTTTTCAATGGCATGTTTAATCACGATTATGCGCTTCAAGTTTGTGACTGGGATATCGAGGATCACAAATAAAGTGTGAATAACCATGCAAATTAGCTTGGTACTCTTGAAGTCATTTATCACCTAATCAATGTGCCAGTTAGCCACACACGCTCCATTGATCTATGATAACCTACGAGCTACCCATTGCCATCCTTCATTAGTCCCATATTAGTGTGTCGGTTAACCACACACGCTCCACTAACGACCAATAAGGTGCAATGTGCAATTTCATGGGTTGACATCAAATTCATATTTTTCCTACAGTATCTAAGATTGAGAATTTATAAGGTATACTTGGTATTTTATTATACTTTTAATGAAAATTTGTGTCCTATCTTAGCCGTTCGGCTAACGACCCTCCACTAGTCAAATGTGCGGTGGGTAAGAGTGGATACCCAATGACGCTCATTTTACAGGCCGCTTCCTTAAACACCCCTTATAGACCAGCTTCGTGAATGAGGCATACTAAAGTTAAGACTGAATTTTAACTTATACATACATAATATATTAGACTTTTAATTTTATATAGTATTAGGGTGTATTTTAAACATTTAAAATACTTGGTGGTTTAATCTATTAATAAATTGGACTTTTAATTTAATTAAATTTAAACCATATGATTATGGAATTATTAATTTTCTATTTTGATTAAACATTTAATTAAGTTAATAAAATTCATAAAGGTGTAATTTGAAATATTAAAAAACATCAAGGTTCTAAATATAAAAAATTCAAAATTAAAACTATTTAGTTAATTTTTAAGTTACGAAACCAATAGTTGCAATTTTTTGAACCTTTTCAAATTACTAGGGATTTTGGAATTTAATGTTTCATGGATGAGACTTTTCAAGTTCCAAAACTTGAGGGCAAGTTTTGAAACTCTTCAAAACCTTTTAAATTTCCATAACTTAGAATTTAAAGTTCCATAAATGAGACTTATCAAATTCCAAAACATGAGGGCAAATTTTGAAACTTTTCTAAACTCCTTTGGATCAATTTGACAACAATTAAAATAATTATATAATTAACTATATCAAAAAAATGACCGAAAATATTTTCATATAGCAAGGTAATTCACATCAAATTCCATAAATAATCAATTTATCACATTGACAATTAATTATCTCAAAATATGACAATTATCCTTCAATTGGATGAAGATAATCATTTCCTTATCATAAAAAAATATTTTTATTAGTCAAAATAGTTTATGTTAATGTTCATAATCCAAAACTTGGCCAAAAAGCTGAAAATCTACCCACTGAACAGTCACCATGTCATGGTAAATATAACCACATCGTAGTCATCCGGCAGATTCCAAAAAAAAAAACAATTTCCTTGCTTTGAACAATTACCAATGCATCAATATAACAGAAAACATCCTAGGCTCTGATACCACTGATGGGTTTTGAGCACTATAACATCCCTATGGTGCACATACAACCCTAAGGCTTTGGATCTAAGTTTTCTCTAATTATATATGCAATATTCTTTTGCCAAAGCATGAAGCCTAACTAGCATACTAAATTTGATATTTGAATCGTAAAAAACTAGTTAGATGGTTACCTCTTGTTGTAGCTTGTAGAAGTTGGCCTTTCAAGAGCTTAGTACCTCAAGTGTGATGCCTCACATGTTTCACAAAACACCACCAACAATTGGATGACAATGAGAGAGAGTAGGAGGCACCAAAATTGGCTAGATTCTTTTTGGAATGCACAAGTCCTGATTTTTGGGTTTAGGG